TTGATAGTAGTTGGGACACCGTAGCACACAGGCGCAGCCCCTGTCAAGAACTGCATAGTGCAAGCATCGCGTGCATCAGCCATGAACGACCCAACTCTCTCTGATGATGTACAATCATCACTCCTCTCTCTGAACCAGCCTTCCAGCATTGCCTTCCCAAAACAGTTAATATCACTTGTTACGTCCCACAAGTTTGCAACAATGACTGGAGAACCGGCTAGCAGGAGAGACGTGGGAACACTGTTTGGTACGTATCTGCCTGATCTTCTATATGGCAAACCGCTGCTGCATCCCATCAGAACAGCTGCAGCACACAAGAGTTATCGGTTCTCTCTTCTCGTTCTTCTCCTGCTGCCTAATCTTGATTTCTGCTTCCCTTGTCAGTTTTAAGGCTACCCCATACCTACTTTGAGGACCATAAGATGCACTGGTAGGGAATGCACATCCATCACCTTCATCAATATGGTCCCTTCGCCCTATGTAGCAACCATTCTTTAGACAAAGCTGAGATATCCATGCGTCTCCTTCAAACCCATTTGTTCCATTTCCAAGAAAAACCTTTAGAAGTGTCTCATTTACTTCCATATTACATTTGGACCTTAGCTCCTTAACCAGCTTCTTTTGCGTGGACTCATGCAATTTACTGTTTGACGATTCTCCCAAAAGCAGATGCCTCCAGGGACCCAACCATAAATCTTCAAGTTTTCTATATCAATAAGACAAGGTACATAATTCTTTTTGCCAGAACAAAAAAAGACTAGTCCCAAATTGGGCAACCAGAAGCAGGACAGAAACACAGATCAATATGTTGTTCAAACTATATGCATCACCTTTAGATTTCTACATGTAATGTACCTTAGGAATTTAGCAAGACGAAGATTGAGTTGCTCTCTCTTCTTCCTCCTTAAGTTTACATCTTTTACAGGTACCTCAGAATCAGTAGTGAAATTCTCCTCCAATATTAATTTAAATGCTGGGGCGACAGCATCCACCACCCCATGGACAAACCCATCGTTTATCCATCTCCTTGATCCCATTCACTTCAATATTGCTCGGATTTGAATCATCATCGTCTGAGCCTTCTGTTGAAACATAACATGACTAAGATTCCGTTATCCAGTAGCAACGACAAAAAGGAAATTTCCTTGCTCAACCAATCTGGAGTAGACATTACCTTCAAGTACTGAATCTACAGGCAGAAGTACGGCTACAGGCTGACTCTTTGAGCTTAGACGTGACAAGAGCAGCCACGCACAAACAGGGGGGCTTTTCATTATCTTCTGCAGCAATTTACTCAGTGTGCCTCCAAGCACGCTAATGCAAATGACAGTTGATTCTGACAGACTATTGAAAAAGTTCTTTGCAAACTTTACAAGATCTTCAGTGCTTTCTGGAGCAAGCCTGCAGTGTCAAGTAAAAGACAATGGAATCAGCAAAAAGTAATCTTTAATCCCATCTTTTTCTAGCTTATAATCCAATTTAAGACCTGAGGAAGTCAAATTCCGCAGAAGCCATGCATCTCAATCTAGAAGCCTGCAGATTACACTGTCAGATTGGGTGTCAGTGACAACTTGTCTTTTGTCAAGCAACACAAGAAAGCAAGGGGTAAATGTAAGGTCATAAGCAAAACTAAAAAGCAAGGGGTACAACAAACATAACCAATAATACAGATGGTAGGAAAGTAGTTTGGCACCACCACATATATATTAGTTGGAAGGCTCACAATATCAATTTTACCAACCTCTTTGTCTGAGTTGCGTCCTGATTTGTATCTTCTGCTATAACTTGATAAGAACTGGTAGTTCATATGAGCACCAAGAGAGACTTGATGATAATATGTAACCCAATGACTTACAGACAATTCACCGTCACATGGAAATGAGAACTCAGCACTTGAAGAAGAAAGCAGGTATAAAGCAGCAAGTAATCTTGAAATCTGTAGTGAACCAATATGCTTGTCATTACAGCTTAAATCAATATCGCAACATAAATGGAAAGGTAGGCGTTCTCGAGAAAAAAAAACCAAGTTTTACCTTTTGGTAAAGTATTGGAACCTCTCTGCTGAGTACAAAGGCCAACGTTAACCATGAAACCAGCTTTTGAGATGGAATATGAGATAGATCACAGCAAATAGACCTGCTAAAATTAACGAGCAGAGATGTTGGATAAAATTTTGAAAGGACAGTTTATCAGTTTAAGATAAGATATTTATTTCAAGGGAGACCACAAATTTGATGATCGCAAAAACTATTAGTGTCGTACTCAACAGTATGACGAACCTGCTCGCCCTGGAGTGGTAAGTTTGAAGACTCAACTTGCACAAGTTGTATAGTATTCTTGCCCGATCAACACCAAGTACATCTCCTTTGATTTCCTTCCCAATAAAATCCAGCAACGGACCAAGAGAAATTGAGCTGTGGCTGGATATGTTACTGTTAAATAAAACAGCAATGCTACGCAAAATTGCCTCATGTGCTTGATGAACCTTTCCAGATTTAGCCAAACATTTTCCTGAAATAATATATTTGTAGCTATTAGAACAGCTAAAATTCCTGACTGTCATGCATGCAGATCATGCGTTCTTTGTTGGAAGAGGTAAAAATAACAGATCTGTCATACATTTTAAAAACTATTAGTGATAAAGAAACAACTGAGAAAAGTATAACGTAGGAAGTTAGTCCAGAAGCAAAGTTATGAAACACGGATGGACCTCCATTTCCTAAAGAAACAAGAAAAGGAATATTTCAGCGCAATGTGTTCCAATAAAGTCATGAAACTATAAATGATGGAGAAAACAGGATTACACAAGTGTCAGCTAAACTAACATTTGATAAGATGGGACCATTGATACCTGAACTAGATAAGTTTTTCATTGATACTATAGCTATTACTACCTTTGTACCTCACCCATCAACAAGAAAGAAACTAGAAACCATAATGAAGCATACACCAACTAAAATTGTTAGGTAGGAACTCAAGTTTCCTCCTAAATTTTGTAACCCAGAGATCTATCTAATCGCATCCTTCACCACATTGCTAGATATGCAATCAGTATTCCAATTCTTACGTAAATTTCACCAACTGTAAAAACAACCTTGAAGTGATTTCATACCTCAGTTTTATCTTATACCATGTAGCAACTCATATACCATCAAAAGACTTCAACTAAGATCATGAAAACCGAATAAGTCCCAAAACAAACTTTGTAAAACAAGAATAAGGAACTAGTGGTGTCTGCGAAAACTAACAAACAAGAATCACTTAGAAAGTACAACCAAGTCCAGATTACAGTAAGGAAGGTTGTACACGAAAACAAAAAGAGAAGAGGTAAAGTTTATAGGAGAAACCGAACAAACCAGTATAGGAAAAAACCCTTTTGACTCTTTTATATTATCAGACGTTCTTCAATTAAAGCGTAGAGAAGATAAGACTCTCAGAAAATGTTACCACTTACCAATCCAAAAAAAAATGAAAAATAAAATCCAACAAACCATGAGGCCCATTCAACTGTTTTTATTTATTTTTCTAATAAAATGGAAAATAATAATACATGATCAAAGAGAAAAGGCGAAAGAGTT